TTCCATCAGTGACGTAGGCAGTCTCCGCCCGCATTCAGCAATCGTGCGCACCGCTTTCAGGAACCGCTTCCGTCTTCGGCCGGAAATTATTTTTGAAATCAGGTATGTTTTGTCAATGGTCGCATCGATCAGAGCCGCGTTTATAAATTTCCCTACTAGCTTGCTACATGAGACCATCCTGCCTCTCCTTGTGCACGAAAGTCAGCGCGCGATAGTGCAGCTGACCTGTTTGTAAAACAAGTAAATGCTCCAAACGTGCATTTCGGATGAGCATCCAGTTTTCTGCAAAACTAGAAAGACTTGGATCAATATGTACCTCAATCATGCACTGAATACTTCGAGCCTGTTCACCAATTTCTTCGCCACATTTGCTGCATTCACTCCATGGTGAAATCTGAATAACGCTGAGTAAGATAAAAAAGGAGGTATCTTCTCTTTATTTCACCGAACTAACTGCTAAAAGCGATGCAAATAAAGCACTCACCACAGGCCTAGCTCTCAACTTTCCGCCGATCTCTTTTTCGCTGAAGGTAACGTCTGATGGGACACTATCAAGCTTCGATTTCACCTGAATTCACCCTACACATCAGTGTTGGACTGCTTGGTATACTTGGCACGGGCATTTGATTCAAGAAATGAACTCGACACTATCTGATTTCACTTGACTAGCCCATGAAATCTGTAGCCCTTTGGACCAGGACACATAATCGCTGTGGAAGCCACAACGGGCGAGGCGGGTGGGAGGCATGGTATTCTTAACCTCAATAAAAGTTCCCGGATTGTTGATTTATCTTTCCCAGTGCTCTATTTACCAATCCTCCCCCTCTTCCTCTCGAGAGAGAAGTTTTTTGGGAAAATATGATAAGAAGGTAGTTAGTAGCTTGAAGGAAGGGTCGTCACAAGGAGAGAATTCGGTGGGAGATGATAGCAAAAGATGTTTCACACAACGGATGTGCACCCATAAGTAGCTGCAGTCGTGATCATAAATGAGGCACACACCTGGTACGTTATACGTTAATCTAAATGGCTTGGCTCATATCTATTTTACATTTCCTTCCTGGTAACGCAGTTAAGACCCCTGGTTACTACCCGTGGGTGTGACGCGTTACTTTTTAGTCAAGGAATCGGGCGCACTGGCAGAGTATCTTTTCCTAGCTAGTTGACCAGCGCAACGTTTAAGTCCTATTGCGAATACTTTCTACGTTACCACGCTTGCAGCTCCTACATAGCCGCGCTTGCCGCGACTGGAGTTGAGACTCATCACCACCTCACCCTAACCAAGGCTCACATCCAGAGCGCAGACTGCCAGAATCACACACCCAGTAACGCAGATAGATAAAGGACAACTGCTGCCAAAGCACTGAAAGGTGCGAAAAAAACGTTACTAGGCAGAAGAGGGCTTTTTTAAAAGGTCTCTATTGACTATCACATTCATTTATGTGCTCACCATTTTAATGTTCGCTCTACTGATGACGTCCAGGTAGTACATCGCTGAAACGACACGATTCTTCCCGTGCTTATTCACGCAGCGATAGTATCCGGTCATATTGCGATCAACTGCCGTAATGCGTAGTTCGTACCTATCACCGACACGAATTCTGGCGTTATCCCGTGCGAGGAATCTGAATTAGGAACAAGCTGAGTCTGATATCAGTCTTCCTCCATGGCCGTTCATATCCGCTAAGAGCAGGTCTCACAATGGCAAGTTTAGGCAAAAGACTAGCCAAATGCATGGCGCATCCCGAAAAACGGCCAGATGAAGCCTGTTACTTTCTGTTCTTTCCAGTAATGAATAACAGTTATAAACTGTACATTCACAAACCGTTTCACTTTATCAGCGATTTTCTCCACTCTCATTCCAGTCTCATGCATTTTCGTGAGCGGACGCCATTCTTGGCCCATTAGGGCACGTTGCCAATCGTATTTCCATTTGTTGACATCCCGAACCTTACTAGTAGCACGAAGAATCTTCTGGAAACGCTATTATCAGTTTTATTGAATAATTGCCGCCTTACTTGAAGAACGAATGAAACCTCTTTGAAAAAGTCGATAGCCGCTATGAAAGCTCTGCCAATTGTCCCAGCTGACGGTTTATAGGTTGACTCGATTTCAACAGCATTTTCTGGTGAAACACTGGAATTACGGGGCTCGAATTCAATCGAATCATTCGAATGAGGCACATAATTGGAGGATCCCTCGCTAATGTCAAACACCTAGCACGAACTCCTTTTTGGTGTGTGCCGCGCGTTAGGGTTGCATTTACAATGATTGTGACATTCGGACGCAGCACTTGTCTTCGATTACCCTGTCTTGGCACTTAATAAGCGAGCTGGGGCTTTCTCATCGAAATTGCGTTGATAGTACCTCATGAGCCGTAGTGTGGGCAGTTTTACTTATTCATGCAAGGGCCTTGCTGTAGGATGGCAACAAACACACAATATTCTTTGCCTCTAACAGAGACTCAAAGGCAGATAACTGAGAGGGCGCGCTTTGTGGCTAAAAGCGCGTCAACGTATAAGCATAAAGGACTTTTAGTAGTGTTCACTCCTATCCAGGACACCAGCACTGTTCAGCTCTGTGCGCTTCTCTCTCGGCCCCTTTACTGTTTGCTGCGTGTACCAAACACGTCCGTTCGAACAGAAATCTAAAACGTAGGACCGCTGTTCGGCGACCATTCTTCTAGGTATCTTTCGCGTGCTATTTTTCCACTAGAGATCAACTAGTATCTACGAGCTCTTAACCGCACTCAGGGTACAACATCGTGATGTGTGAAGTGGTGGTGTCATTACGGATAATTCCTACCTGAAGGAGGGTCTCTGTACAACGCCTCCCCCTTCCCGCAACACCTACTTTCAAACATTTTCAGTTTTTCACACAAGGATTTTCCGTCGAGCGGGAGGGATAACTAGCACATGTGAGAGAGACGGGAAAATTTCCTAAATCTCCCGTCACTTCCTACCACTTTTTACCGTAATTTCCCGGAATTTTCACTGCTTTTCTCTGGAAATTTTGATGTCGAAGCGCGGTAGGAAGGGAGGGGGCGAGGTATAATGTATCGCGAAACACTCAACAGCCAGGAAAAGATTTTTTCCCACGCGGGAGATTATCTTTTGAAGGCACGCACGCGCCCCCCCCCTTTCGACAAGGCCAAATACGATCCCCTCCCCAGCCCAAAAAGTACGATCCCCTATGTTATCAGCAAACGGTTCTGTAGCCTGACCGCATTCAACATTATACTTTGTGCAACCTTTTTAAAGGCACATTCCGCGATAAAATAAGGCTATGACCTCTCAAATGTGTCGGACGATCCGGAAGGCGATTTTTGAGGCTGCGCTACTTTCAAAATGTGAAAAACGGCAAGAACTCCGCTAGAAGCTGGCTAATTAGGCCCATGGACACCCCTTAGGCCCATGCCGACCCTCACCGGCTGCTAGCTCCTAGCTAGTAGCCACTATGTTATCTTTATCTATAATATTTCGGACTGCTTTTACTGCTGCTTTTCTCCGCTAATCAGATACTTAGCACTTTTTTGTGCCTATTTGAGTTCCGTTTCCCGCAATTTGCGGTCGCGAACTGTGCCTTTAAGATGGCAGGAGCTCGTAATCATGCTGCCAACATGATTGGTATGGGTAATGAAAGTTAGAACTAACCATGGAAAGCAAGGCAACGTCGTATCTGCTCCTTTGGCGAGGGTAATTACCTGAAAGGTCTGTGTGAGTTTGACGTAGACTCAGCATTGCAGTGGCTAGAGGCACTTCTTTGCGTGGGCAGTAGATCTCTATCCTTCAAGGAGATACAAAGCCGGTAATATTGACGGCACAGTTCGGCTTGATGAGGCACCGAATGTTACCAAGCTAGGCTTGTACAAGCCTTCTCGTGAAGAGCTGGGAATTCCTGGGAATGAAGTGGTATTATCCCGCCGTTTCTCAAGAGTTCGTAGGTCTTCACCTAATGATTAGTATGCATTAATAAGAAGAGCTGGCGGAAGTACAAAGTGCCCGTCGAAGGCGAACAGCGCCATATTGTCTTCCAGCATAGCCAATTCAAACCATGCGATCTTAGGGACTGATGACCCCAAGAGCAAAGAGTACGCAGGCTCGGATCCACGGCATGACAAGTAATCGGCGCAGTTCGGCGACGGGAGGGGGGCATTTTGCACTTTCGTTGCTTCACTAGTTCCGGTTTACAAGTCTCACTCTGGTGAAACCTGTGAACTCTTGTGAAGCTGGAGCAAGCTCGTCAAGCCATCATGGTAAAACCTGTCAACTCGAGAAGAGGCTGTCTAGATGGGTCGACACGTCGATGGGAAGTAGCAAAAGTGCAAAATGCCCCCCCCCCCCCCTCCCCCGTCGCCGAACTACCCCCAACTAATTTATCATTAATCTACCTGAACATAGTTTGCATCCGATAGAACGTCTTCTCGCCGTTTTATACATTGACGGTAGTCCTCATACTGTTTCTTCAACTCAACATTCACCTTAATAAGGTTTGTTCCAGATGGAAGCTAATCAGAGCCCCTCCTGCTGAACGAAAATTGGAAGCCACAGGCTCTCTATTTTTGCGAATCGAAATCTTACAGAGTCAGCGTATCTTGCAAATAACGCTATCCACCATAAAAGCATCCAGCAAATGAACTTCAACTTGATTGGTTTATCAATGAACTCGAGATGAGGATAAGATATGAATTAATGTATAGTAAAAACGACTGATAGGTGATTAGGGGGAAGCCGTGCCAATATTGAGCCAGTTCAAATGTGAAGTTGGATCTGTGCTTAATCCTGAGCCAAGTAAGCCTTCACCTTTTGGAGACCGGATACTTAGAATTAGCTTTTTCTTTTCTCAGGACAAATGTATCCATATGTTTCTTAACTGCCTTTTCTCGGCCCTGTTGAACGAAAATCATAATGCCAGGGCTCTGAACGCAGAGTAGATTGCTAAGGGTTCCTAGCCTGCAAATGTGGGGAGTGGGGGGGAAGCATTGCCTTCCCAGAGCCCACCTTGAGTTGAGGATTTTGGTCGAGTTCGTACGACCGTTCCCTCTTTCATAGGGGTTGGTACCACCCCTCCCCCTGTTCCAACCTCATCGAGCTCTCAAGCAGGGAGGTACCGCGGGGAAAATACGACCCCTCTCTTTTCCTCACCATTTTGTAGATTTCCCCAACTTCCAACCACTTCTTCCGGAATTTCCCAGAGATTTCATTACTTTTATCACAAAATTTTGCTGCCGAGCGGGGAGGGTTGGGGGTGGTGAGGAGGGGTAATATTAGGTTGTCCGGAAAGTTCTTAGCGTTTTGTGCACCTAATCTTTGTACATTCACTGCTGATTAAAAACTCATTCTGCCTTGCTTCTCAGTAGCACATCCTGTAGATGCATCGCAGAAGACTTTACTCCCTGCGACTATCCTCCAGCATGAGCGCCCACCCCCCCACCACTATACATCTTGCCGCTATTCACCAACTCTGACTGCCCACTACAACCTCACCCTGTTATTTTCAACAAAGACACATCTTCTTCTCCTTACACAAGCAAATGTCGCCCACCAAAGAGCACTTTCTGGACGCACTCTTCCTTCTTCTCATCCGGCATCCACTACAAAATATGGCGGCCAATCCAATCGAACACAGCCCTCCAACCACAAGCCCAACTATAACCCCACGCTGTTCGTGCCCGACGGCACCAATAGTGCTAGAAGAAAAACCCACTGCTGCGCGCAATGGCTCAGACCCCGAAAATTGTCGGACAATTTTTCAAGCCCTTGCAGGTCAGCAACATCAAGACAGCGGTCGACCTAAAGCAATATCTGACGAGGATTTTAGGGGGATTTTGAAGGTTGACCCATCCCAAACAGTTCGAGAGATAGCAGAAGAGCTAGGCCTTGGCAAATCCACTGTTGCAGATGGTCTGGAACGCATTGGGAAGGTGAAAAACTCGACAATTGGGTGCCCCACAATCGGAGTGACCGGCAGGAATCGGCACGTCTCGAGGTTCCTTCTTCACTGCTTTTGCGCAAAAGAATTGACCCGTTTTTGAACGGATTTGTCACCTGTGATGAAAAATGGATCATGTATGATAACAGGAGACGTTCCGGACAGTGGTTGGATTTGGAGGAACCACCGAGGTAATTTTCAAAGCCGAACCCTCGCGAAAAAAAAAAATTCTGGTCAGGTTTGGTGGTCATCGGCTGTTGTAATCCACTATAACTTTTCATCACCAGGCCAAACCATCACAGCAGAACCCTACTGTGAACAAACCGACCAAATGTACCGAAAATATTGTCAGCTGCAGCAACACTTATCAAAAGAAAGGGTCCGATTCTTTTGCATGACAACGCCCGCCCACACGTTTCACAAATCACTATCCATAAATTGAACGAATTGGGAGTTGAAGTTCTACCTCACCCACCATATTCTCTAGACCTTTCACCAACCGACTGTCACCTTTTCAGACATTTTCAGAACTTCCTTGCTGAAAAATACTTCATCAATTAAGACCAGGCAAAAAAGACCTTCGCAGATTTCGTGGATTCTCGACCACCCAGTTTTTTCTTTGATGGGATTTCTCGACTGCTGCCACATTGGCAAAAGTGTGCTGATTCGAATGGTGCTTATTTGGATTAAATCCGATGAGTGTTAAGAAAGTTATGATCGTTTAAAGTTAAACACCCAAAACGCTAAGAACTTTCCGGACAACCTAATACACATGAGACAGGAAAAATGCCGAAAACACAGGCAACATTTTCAGAAGGCCAAAAGGGAAAGACGACCTCCCATCCCAACAACGAACAAATGCGACCCCCTTCCCTTCACAACGTCCGTGAAACAAGAAAAATCAACTATCAAAATAAATTTTTCTCAGCCCAAATACGACCCCCTCTCCCAGCGACCAAATACGACCCCCTCTGTTGGGGAATCCCCAACAACGATGTGCCCGCCCAAGGGGCCTAGAGTGGTCTAAGTACTGCCGAGGGGAGCGCCTTCATCACATATAGTTGAGATGCGGAAGTGGTGCAACCGTGCTTGCGGACAGTACTACTTTATCCAAAGAAGGGCCTGAGCATCACATGAACGCGGAGCGTGCCTCTAAAAGCAGCTCTTGCAACGCTTGGGTTGATGAATGGAGAACCATTAGCAGGAAGAAAGAGATGAACAAATATACTGTCGGAAGCGTTTCTACAAAAAACCTTTTTCCAAGAGATGCTCTGCGATTGCGGGTTCTAAAGAGAAGGGTTGCTGCACGTCAGGTAATCGCAGACGCTGCCCTCAAATCCAGGTATCTTGGAACTCCAACTAACGCCAGCTTTCTTTCAGAAGTTCCCCCCCCCCACCCTAGCGAGTGGTTTCCGTGTTCCGTCCAGATTCACCGCACTCGATTTCTCTCTGTCTCATGAAGTAATAACGAGAACGACAGCTGGTCAATGGTCTGGTAAACAACTTGATAAACGTTTACCTTTAGCTAAATGGTTTGTGATCAGCGCTTTGCTCATTAAAGACAACAAAAAAGTGCGATGGTTGTCGGCAGCTGCTGAGATATCATCGTTTTGTGGAAACCATCCGATCACGTCAAGAAGTTATGTGAATAACCAAGCAAAGATGTTCCTTTCCCAAAAGTTGCAACTCCGGGTGCGCCATGCGCTAGACTTCATTCAGAAAAGGCGGAGTTGTTTGGATGTGTACAGTGATGACCAGTGTCTTTCCGTAGCAGCACTGCCATTCACTGTTTTTGTCCCTCTTTAAGGGACACATATGTACGCTCACACTTGAGGGTATGGACTATAAGCCCAAGCTGTCGATGTGTCGTGTCCCCCGCCCAAACATGCCCAGGAATGGAGATACAGGACCGTGAAACACGCTAGTTCCTCCATGCTCCGCCTTACACCTTTTTTGCGGCAGATTCGTCGTTTCTACATCGTTTGCAACGCGCGTGTCGCGTGCGGCTCCTGGCCACTTTACCAGTCCTTTTAATCGCGTTTCAATTGACAAGTAAAACGCAATTTCCTGATGCGGATAACATTGGAGGTGCTGCAAAATAAGAACAGAAGATGATGACGAGGGTCAGAACTTAAAAGCAACTGTGCCACTTCTGCAACATCCCTCGGAGGCCGTATATTTCCACGAAACATGAAATAAAACGATATCGTTAGTGTTGATCAAAGACATACAAATTCTGATGCGAATAAAATTTGAGGTGTTGCTCATGCTTCAATCCATGTCCAAGGAGATGAAGATGACACAGGCAGAAATGAAGCACCGATGTAAATGTAAATAAAACAAAAGTGAAAAATCAAGGGAAGGCAAATTATTTACAATCGCCTGTAAATTTCTACGATCCGGCGCGAATCCGGCGCCAGCCATAGAAAATACGTAGATTAAATGAGGTTGGGCCTTGGATGTTTTTATTTCCATGTTTGTCTGGGAGCGCGGACTCTGATGGTTTGCGGATGAGCCGAGTTTGCTCTTGAGTTCTGGCCCTTATCATCGAATCTTTGTTCTTAATTCTGTGGACCTGCCAATGTTTTCAGGCGATCATGGAATTCGTTTTCTGCGTATTTGAGGAGCGCAATCAAGACTGGCGATGTGCAGGGGCGCACGACGACACGCGCGTTTGAATCGGCTTATGAACGACGAGAATCTGCGCGAAAGGCTGTAAGCGGAGCATGGAGGAACTGCGTGTTTCCGGGTCCTGTATCTCTGCTGGGCATGTTTGGGCGGGGGGGACCACGACACATCGACAGCTGGGGGGCTGATAGTCTCATACACCCTCAATGCGCTTGAACGTACCATGTGTCTTTAAGATGGTTCTTCGACAAGAGGTCTTGCTTTGGTAAAGTTCGGATGTCTTGCTTTTGATGTTTTTTTTGTCGTCGTTCTAATTAATGACCATGGAGCTATGAGTCTGATCCCGATATTCTTGTCTTGTTTCGCGGTAACTATCTTGGGTCGAATCTTGAATTCGCAGGTGCAGGGGGTCCAATCGCCGGCTACTGATTAGGTCACCAACCTTGCTCTGGGATCGGGTCACGAATTCGTCTGCAAACGCTGAGCAGCGAAAAGCTTTGATTTGCCCTCCAGTCTGTTCCCTTAACACTGTGCGTCCTAGGGGCTTTAACACTTCAGAAGATAGCGGGGAAACGGACCTGAGGTAAGAAGCGCAACAATCCACAAGGACTGACAATACTCGACATGCATTAAATTACTGATGTTTTATATGTTACAAAGCAGTTTAGACTCTCGAAATCCCTCGGAAGAGATGATGACCGGTCCGTGATTTGGCGCAAGATCCAGTGTGATTCAAAACGACCAAGAGGGCGGTCAAGCCTCATACCGTTGCATGCAGACCTCAAGACAGCTGGCGTACATCCCACTAGGTAATCAAACTGGAGAAGTTGCGTTATGAGACCAGAAGATCGGATCCCGACAAGGAGTAAACGCTGAAGGCTAAGGAGAACCAAAGACCTGCCAAAGACCTACAACCCTCCAGGTTCTTTCTCACTGATAATGAAGGATAGGTACGTCCCGCACAGGAATTCGAGACTAAAAGCATTGAGTACGTGCGTACGCATGGTCTAGCGCGGTGCAAGATGTATTGTTGTTTACAGCTGCTAGCCGTTTCTCATGAAACCAAACAGGAAGTATGTATGGCAATCAGTCAGTGGCCGTCTGGAATGTGCAGAGAGAACAAAACACAACATCGTGACCGTTCGTTATCACTTCATCATTCATGCAAGAAGTGACACCAAGACCGACGTTAATGTCTGGAATGTAAGCAGTGTTGAACGGTGCAAAGAGCAAAAGGCATCAGAGTAAAGAGTTTGTCGAAGTTGCCTCGAAGAAAGCTCCTGAGAAATAGTAGCCTGGAAAATGTGGCTCGTCTATGAACCTGTGGTCGCTGAGTGGCTTTCCAGCAAACAGAAGCAACATCGATAACCTCCTAAAAGATCCTTCGTAAATTTATATATTTATTTATTCATCATGCACGCACGGGTGTGCTACAATATGAACGAAACTAAAAGGGCTACAAAATAAAGCAGCAGAAAGAAAAGCAACGAGAACAGCAACAAACTTGGCAACACAAATACTCACAAGCGGAGACCCTCCAGACCCTAAACTTTCAAAAATCCTTGAATGCCCACAATAGTCAGGTATGTCAACTTCCTTAAGTTCCTCTTGAAAACTAAGGTATTTGTGCCTTCTGCAGCTCTTATGGCAGCAACTGAAGCCTTGGTCTAAAAATCCAATATTACTGGGCGTCAGCTTAACTCTCCTTTCTGTAGAAAATTGCCTAGTTTCATTGTACGATGTTTCCTGACCTGCTGGCGAGTCCACGCCTAGGGGCCTTTGCGCACCTTCTGGCTTACAAATCGTTTCTACTCCTTACCTAATACCAAACATTATCCAATACAAGATAAAAAAGCAAAAAAAGCACTTGAAGCATGTGACAGGAAATAGCTCGCGCAGTCTTCGTGTACAAAAGTAGGATTACGGTAAGCAAGGACCCCGACGACTATTGTACCAAAGTGCTAATGCATCACTGGCAATTCAATCCGCGCCAAAATGCATTTTGCCTTGTAAAATGGACTGTTTCTGACT